TAACAATCTGCTCACTGAATTTCCAATTCTAGTTGAATTGCTTTTCTTAAATGGTTGAAAGTACGTATGAATGTTTCCTGGGTTCCATGTTGAAAAGTGGACTGTTTAATTAATCGGTCAAGGACACCACTCTTCTAAGAGTTTCTGCAGGCCAAATCTTCCTTCCTCAATTAGGTATAAATAAATATTTGAGTACATGTGACATAGATGAAAAATAGAGGGAGAGATGCAAATGTTTAAGCATTATACTATAAATATTCAGTAAACGTTTAAACATGAAGAAATCCTTAAACACAGTCTCAATGTTAACACACGCTCAGAATACTCAAATTGTGGATTACTCAAGTTACACTGACATTAATTAAATATTTACAAATTTCGTCAGATACTTTTGAGGATAAATAAAAATCGGATGATGGAAAATTTATTTTCAGGGATGATGCAGCCAGAGCCAAGCAACGACGTATCGACCATTTACGTGGCGAAGTACAATCGTTTCGTGGACAATATCTTGGGCAGAATTAATAAGATCTTACGCAGCAATTACGATCCAGTGACGGTGAAGTTGAGCAACGCAAATTCCAGGTTGAAGTCTAATAAACAGAAGAGCAAGAACAAGACGAAGAAGAACAGCAGCAAGACTGCGACGAAGAAGAGCCATTTCGGAATAGTTTCGGTGACTACGGAGAAAATTATCCAAGAAGTTGTTTCTGAAAACACACAGGTACGCGTGTATAGTAGTAGCAATAGAAACTTATACCATCAAAAGTGAGATTTAGAAAATTTCATTGGCTTGTACTTATTCGTTGGTGTGTTCACTGCAGATGTGAAACTGATTATTCGAACTCGATTATTATACAGAAAACGTTGGAATCTGCTGAAAATATGACTGTGGCTGTTACGAATGCCGAGAAGGAAGCAGCTCCAACTACTATTGTCTCTGAAATTGCAAGTAGATCAAATGTGGAAACAAATACGAGATCTACAAACAAGCGAGTATCTAACTCAAATAGCAAGAAAACAAATAAAACTCGTGGTGGGACGAAGAATAAAACGAAACAGACTAGCAGTAATAAGAATAAGGTAAATAATTATGTTTGATCAACATTAACATAAATATGTCATTTCTAGATAAAACAGGTATTTCGAAGAAAAAAAGTACTGAATAAATGATGAATTATTTCAATACACTTGAAACTCAATTCTGCTTCTTGTAACATCTTGTTTTATAAAAATATGTTATTTTCAATTCTTTTATAAAATTTTATATATATATAATATAATATAATAAATATATATATCTTGTTTATAAGATATACTTTTTTTTGTTTTTATAAGATAAATATATATATATATAATATAATAAATATATTATATATCATTTGTTTATAAGATAAATATATATATATAATATATTATATAT